TATGTATGTAGAGGTATTTATGTATGTTAATGTGGCATCTAGTACAAATGTGCGAGTACTTATTTCTATTGTACATATTTCCGCCCCTCCTGTTTTAGCGCTTTCGTTTTTCTTATTGCACTGTGTGTGTGTGTGTGTGTGTGTGTGTTCATTTCGCTTATCATGTACTCGCATGCAAATTTGAGTAGGAATTGGGTATATAAAGCAAATGTATTTTAACAAGATTATAAGCAGAACACAATTGACTATCAAAGCATAATAACCTTGAGTTAAAGAACGGAAAACATTTCAGAATATTCTTTAAGCGAAAAGAAAAATATTTCGCAAAATAGTGAAAAAATAAGTTATATGTACATATGTACGTATGTACGTAGTATAAGGCATACACTGTGAAAACGAATGTTAAAAATAGTGCATAAAAAACTGGATCAAAAATTGTAATCCTTTGGCTAATTTTGGAGTGTAAAAGTTAACAACGCAACTTGCTTTTGTTCAATTACCACAGACATTCTAACTGGAGTTGCAAAATGGAGTTAAAGGTGAGCTAAGGACACGGCGAAATTTGTAGCACAGAGCGATTGTTTAGCACCTCATGGAAATTTTATATATTTTACAGTCAATGTCATGTGCTTAGACCGTTTAAAAAATTGTCTAACGAAAAAAAAATTCTGCGCACTATACGAAAAAAAGCTAAAGTAATATCGAGGAATATGCTAAAAATAATTTTTGGAAAAAATTCGGCTATTTATCTATAAAGCAAAAAATCTCTTTGTTTTTATCCCATACTCCAGCGAGTGACAAAACAAAAACAAAAATTTTAAAACACACCAAGCAGACAATATACTTACGAAACTATGAGCTACATACATTTTTGGTTTATCCCTCTGACGTTAGGATTTTTTAAAGGACTTTGTAATTTCAAAGCTATGTTTAATTCCAAAACTTATTTAAAAAAAATCAGTGCAATTAAAAAAAAAAATCTTTATAATTAAAAAAATTAATTAATTTTTGGTTCAAAAGGAAGAATAGGTTTCGAAAATGTTCTTTTAATTAATTTGCATTTTTAAGCCAAAACAGTTAGCAGCGCGAAATTGAAGGATGTTGTCGAGTTGATGTTAGTCGATAACTAGACTGCGGTTGTTTATGCAAAAAACGAAGCCTAAAAATATGTACCCTATAACTACAAAAAAGGAAGCCTAAAAATATGTACCCTATAACTACATATAAACAAAATGTATATTCAACAATATTTATTGAGCTTGAGGCCATTTTTAATGAAAAACTATTATGGAAAAGCAACAAAATATAATTGTTATAAGGCCATAAATAACAACAACAAATAAAATGTATATAAATTTATTTATTTTGCTTATACTTAAGTGGTACGTATTTTTAGGCTTCATTTTCTACATAAACGTCCACAGTCTATCGATAAAATATATTTAATTTTCAAAAATAAATATTGAAAAATTTCAAGAATATTCAAGTATGAAATTTTAAAAGAGCATCTTCAGTTTTAATTCTACAGAATTTCCTCTTTAATTTGCAGCCCATATTTATTGCTTTTTTCTACATTGCACTGAATTTTTTAAACAATAAATTTAAAATTTATCATATTTTTCATATTTCCAAGTCCCTTAAAAAAATCCTACAACTCTCCTCCAGTTTGATGGGCAAAAACCAAGCGACTGAGAGGAGGCTTAAACTGAAACCATACTTAATGACGATGGGTAGGATAGGCTAACGGCTTTTTTCTTCAAGTACGTTGACGTGGAGTAGGCTTATGTCCAAAATATGGACAGAACTAAAATTTGAGTGTGCTTTGCCTATGAGAAGGGTGATTCAACGAGCTGCGCGAACCACCGCGGAATGAATCTTCTCAATATAGCGTACAAAGTGTTATCGAGCATAATAGTTGGGCCTTATCAGCAGAGTAGCTTATACCTGAAATATCCATCATATTCACAATATGGCAAGTCCTCTATAGAGGTTATCGGAAATCTTCCACAGTATTAACTACGTTGCCAAATACTATATACTTTATATATACTAAATACTATTATACTTTTTTCCAACAATTATCAAGGCAAACTAAATTTGCGAAATAATGCGAAAAATAATGTGTCACTTAAAAAAAAAATAAAAGCAATAGTAGTTTGCCCAAAGAGAATCTTCAAAACAAAAAATTATAACTTCACTCTTAATAATTCCATGCATGCAAATTTCATATACATACATAATTATGCTACTATTTTACAATAACAAAAAAATCTAAATACCACAATTTGTTTTGTATCATTTCAGCACCAATGCACACTCTGCTTCCCACTCATTTTGCTTATTTGCACTGGCAACTACATCGCTAGCGTGAATGCCAAACCTACATTGACATTGCTGGATGGTTATGTTGATACTATCGATCGTGATTATATAGTACCGTATCAAAAACCGATAACCGATTATCATCTCAGTCGCTTGCGGCGCGGCTACTACTACGTCGAAGATGGCTTTATCACTGCTGTACCGGAATCAGTCATCTATGGCAATAGGCGTGTAGATACAGTAACTACCAATAGTGGTGATAGTTCGACGGTGGATGCAGCACAGCTGGTGAATTACAAGCGTACACATGCCAAGCGCAAGAAGTTGTTTGTGCCAAATTTGTTTGGTTAAAGAGAAAAAAAAGTGAAGGAGCGGGAAAGAGGGAGAATAAAATGGAGCGTAAGGAAAGAGAAAGTGTCAGCAGTCGAGGTGGGTGCAATGTCCATTCAAAAAAAAAAAAAAGAAGGTGAATGAAATGTTTGATGGCATTGGTGTGTATTTAATTCTATTTTGGATGGCTGCCGTATGTGACTGGCACTTTGAGATGATAGACTGATAAAAATTGTTAGCCATTTTGCAAATATTTTTTATTTATTTAAACTCGCGGAAAGTACGCTTGCACTTAGTTTTACTTTAGCTGTATGTTTGTCTTTAAAAAAATATTTATTTTTAAGCGCTAATGCACCTGATTGTGTTAAGTTAATATGATATAAAATTGATTTGTGCCTTTATGTTTTTAGAAGTGTATTGTTAATAAGTACATATATATATATATANTGCTGTACCGGAATCAGTCATCTATGGCAATAGGCGTGTAGATACAGTAACTACCAATAGTGGTGATAGTTCGACGGTGGATGCAGCACAGCTGGTGAATTACAAGCGTACACATGCCAAGCGCAAGAAGTTGTTTGTGCCAAATTTGTTTGGTTAAAGAGAAAAAAAAGTGAAGGAGCGGGAAAGAGGGAGAATAAAATGGAGCGTAAGGAAAGAGAAAGTGTCAGCAGTCGAGGTGGGTGCAATGTCCATTCAAAAAAAAAAAAAANGGCGTGTAGATACAGTAACTACCAATAGTGGTGATAGTTCGACGGTGGATGCAGCACAGCTGGTGAATTACAAGCGTACACATGCCAAGCGCAAGAAGTTGTTTGTGCCAAATTTGTTTGGTTAAAGAGAAAAAACGTGAAGGAGCGGAAAGACGGAGAATAAAATGGAGCGTAAGGAAAGAGAAAGTGTCAGCAGTCGAGGTGGGTGCAATGTCCATTCAAAAAAAAAAAAAAGAAGGTGAATGAAATGTTTGATGGCATTGGTGTGTATTTAATTCTATTTTGGATGGCTGCCGTATGTGACTGGCACTTTGAGATGATAGACTGATAAAAATTGTTAGCCATTTTGCAAATATTTTTTATTTATTTAAACTCGCGGAAAGTACGCTTGCACTTAGTTTTACTTTAGCTGTATGTTTGTCTTTAAAAAAATATTTATTTTTAAGCGCTAATGCACCTGATTGTGTTAAGTTAATATGATATAAAATTGATTTGTGCCTTTATGTTTTTAGAAGTGTATTGTTAATAAGTACATATATATATATATATATATATAGGTATATTTTTTGAATTACATTTTTTGAAATCTTTTAATAAAAACGTCTACTGAAAATAAAATGATTTTACTTTTGCTTAAAAAGTATAAATACTTTTTTACTTATCTTTATTTGCACTGCAGTGTATGCATATATTTTTTTCCTCTATCGACCAAAATTCTTAAGTTACGCATAGATTCTTTTCCTCAATTTACTATAGCGATTAGTAACTAGAGCGAACATTTTTTGGCATCTTAAGTTCGACTTAACTTGAAGTCAAATTAGCACTTCGCAATGTGTTAACAGCTGTGTACATACATACATTGTAAGTTAGTTAGAAAAATTCTATGATGAAATTCTGGTATGCCCAGCAAACAATTTTCTTAATACTAGTGTTCGCCGAGCGCTTGAAATCCAAACACCAAAATTAAGTGAAGTTCAGGAAAGTTAAGGTAAGTTGAGTTGACTTGGGATGAGTTGTGTCGAATTGAGTTGANACAGCTGTGTACATACATACATTGTAAGTTAGTTAGAAAAATTCTATGATGAAATTCTGGTATGCCCAGCAAACAATTTTCTTAATACTAGTGTTCGCCGAGCGCTTGAAATCCAAACACCAAAATTAAGTGAAGTTCAGGAAAGTTAAGGTAAGTTGAGTTGACTTGGGATGAGTTGAATCGAATTGAGTTGAGTAAAGGTGAGTGAATTGAAGTAAGTGAGTTCAATTGAGGTGAGTTGTAGTTAGGTGATTTGGAGGGAGCTGTGGTGGATTGAGGTAAAATTCGTGTTCAATAATTTTGTTGTGCATTTTTTAAATTAAGCTAGCAAATGCCTGGCGTGCTTCACTGAGCCTTAAAATTACTTTTGTGTTGTTACTCCCTCCCAATATTCTTATGGCCCCATTCATAAAGAATAAAACATATTTAAACAGCTTTATGAAGGGAGATTTTCAAACGAATTTTCGATGTATTAAGCATTCTCTATTTTCTATAAATGTGGATGTTAGTTAATATATTTTCGACGGCATTTAGAAAGTAAGTATAGTATTGGTTTTCTCCTGGAAATTTAATTTGTATTCTTATAACTCGAGTCTACATATTGCAAACTTTCTTATAAAGCAGGGATGGGCAGATTTTTGGCTCTTAAAGCCATCAAAGAGCCAGCAAGTGCTACGCAAGAGCTATTTAAATCAGTTCCCGGGGTAAAAGGGGTGTAAAAAATACATTAAAAGCATCATATATATTAGTAATGAGAATCGGAGTACAAGAAATTAGAATAAGATCTTCTTCCCCCTTCATGCTGGCTCTTGGTGTTACCCCTCATCTACCACCTAAATGTGCCAAGCCGGCTTCTTAGTGCAAAAGGCTCCTGGGAGTCACTTTGCCCATCTCTGTTCTAAGGTGTACTAATTCAGTACTTAGCTAATTATTTTAAATGAATTAAATTTTGCAAATAGGTCGCAACCCGATTCAAAGATACATATTGTCGACAGAAAACTTTCTTAAGCCTCTTTAGTTTAACACCCGTTCTGTAATATTTAATTTATTTGATCAATTAAAATGAATACAATTGTTCAAACAGGTGGCAACCCCTGAACAATATTTTCGGCATACATTTTTCTAAACCTCTCTAGTTTGATACCCATATTGCAATGCTTAATTTTTCTAATTTATTAAATTCAATTAAAATTGTCAAACACGTGGCAACCTTCCACAAAACTTTTTTCGGCTGTAAGCCATCTTCAACCTTTTTTTTTTTTTTGAAAGCCATATTTCAATATTCAGTTTATTTTATCAATTTATTCAACTGAAATTTTTAAGTAGGGGGCAACTCTCTATTTTTTCCCCTATATTTTAAGTTAGACCTCAAGCAATACTCCGGTGAAATCTGCATTCGATTCCATGCATTAGTTTTCGAGTGATGCCTGTACAAACATACAAACAGACAGACAGATAGACAGACAGACAAAAATTGTTGATTTGGCTTCTGTTGCTCTAATTAAGACCCCCCATATAAACTTTTCATTCATATTTTTTATGTACAGATATCGGCCTGTTACAATTTTGTTATATGTATAGATGTATAGGTTTAGCACTACAAGGATCTGGCGGTTTGGGCCAAACCCAAAAAAATCGCCCATTACCCTCCTTCTTTGTGCATCAGCATCTATACTTACTGTGTCCGGAGCATTCGAAAGCTGGATGTTTGGTCCTCGGAGTGTGTGTACCTACATCCAAAGCACTGTAAGCGTGCTTTTCGTCTATCACATCGTGATCGATTTGGATTTTCGTTTTTCGATCGACGGTGGGACGAAAAATTCTTTCCTTGCCTACCATGGCGACGCGGTGAGGGGTGAACGACAGTACTCAGCGATGGAGTCTCTTTCCCACAACAAATCCGACACCGAATTTGCGCTACTTTACATGGCAGCTGCAATAGACGCCGCAAGGCCTTATACATTATGTCGGTAATGTCACCCTTAGTCTTTCTGTGGAACTGGTTTATGACAGTTTCTGCCTTTTCCAGTGAGAGTCCGGACTTTCCAGGAACATGACCTCAAAGCGCAGTCCTTTTTAGACAGTCGTCGTTAAAGGAAGGGGCAATTTAGGGCTTTTCATTGGTAGTTTTTTTTGCGGCTCGTCCCAAGCTCTGCACTCAACCTATTTCTAGGGGTTTGTCTTCTCGCATTAGCTCGCTTCCAAACGGATGTTCGGTTGCTACGCAGAGGATACCTAGTGGAAACCGGAAGTTGGGTGCTGCTTAAACCGGGTGCACTAAATAGAGATTTCTTAGTATTATTTTCAATTCATTCTGGCAGAAAAGTATAAGTTTACACTAGCCTTGCCCAGTTTTCGCTGTAGAAACTGAAAGTGTTTACTCTGTTAGGCACGAGTTTATTAGCACCATCATTAGTTAGTGAAATAATATTTACATACATACATGTTACATACATACATATGTACACCAGATATGCGTGAGATGTATGTAGCTATGCGTATTTGCTTTGATTTATTAAGTTTACGACATACAAATATTTTGTTATATATTACTTCGGTCTGACAATGAGCGCCAAGTGTAATAGATCTATAGGAAGTGCTAGCAAATATTCTTAAACTAAATATTTGCAGCTGAAAACGTGAAAAAAATATTTACACATAGGCCTCAAACATATTTATCGAAAGTAAATACATACGTATGTAAGTAAATATTTGCACGTGAGAGATATTTTAATCTCCTAATTGAATTTATTATGTACATGTTGACATTTAAACTAGAACTTTATTCTTGAAGTATAACAAACGTACGCGCATTTTTATTGCTGAACAAGCGCCTACAGCCATGCTATAATTTTGAGCGTATTTCTTGGCTTTTAAATAACGTCTAACTCGCCTAGAAGACTACTGCTTTCGATAATGTACAGCAGCAGTTAAGGCCCATATGAAAAATGTATGCATGTGTGCTCGGACAACCGCTCTTCTACCCAGCAGCTATTCAAACTGGTTTAAAATTCGCGTCAAGATAACTTAAAAAAGGGACTACGAAGGGGCAATGCCCCACTCTGCAGAATTTCTGAACCAATTCGGAACTGACTCAGTTCTGCACGGATCTGTGACTATAAGTTTTTATGAGAAAAAAGTTCAGGATTCGATTTTTGGATAGTTTTAAGTGGCACGCAACAATTTTTATTTATTAAATCTGAAAACTAGCAACTGCCACCACTGCGATTGGAACTCTCGTCTAAGGATGTTCGAGTCGGAGGTCTTCTCCCGGAGCTACTTCCGTATTGTACTATAAGTGGGAATTTGCACATTCACTTTTCAGCATTCGCATACTATGTACACTAGGGTGGTCC